GTTTGAGGGTGGTTGGTACAGGCCAGGTGCGGTGTCGTACTTCTCGAGGTTTGGGTGTGAGAAGAGTTTATATAACAAATCTCTAGATGTTTGGGTGAGGGGTGAATCTCAGCTCTCTATAAACCTAAGAAGCTCTGCCACAAGGTGTATGAGGTTTCCTGTTTTTCCAAAATTGACCTCGTTGAGTTCGGGTTGGTTGTGGTTGTACTTGACGATTCTGACAAAAGTCTGTGCAATACTGTCTAGCTTTATGGCACTGTGTGTGTGTACTCTGACTATGTAGACCATTTACTGGCTCCACAGACTCCATTCACAACTTTTTCGGGTGTACTGATTGTTCCGGCAGAGTTTCCCTTATATCCGGCTGTTCTATGCAGTCTGTGCTTGTTCCGCGAGTCTATCCGAGACTCTTTCTGTCTTACCTATGCTGACTAGCCCTCTGACTATCAGCTGACCTGAGTGTTACCATTTGCTAAACCCCAGGAATCCGATCCTGCTAAGGTCCAACTGACTAACACTAACACTATACTTACTTCAACTGCCGAGTCAATATGTCTCTCCCCTCTTAGGAAAGGCTATACAACTCTCAACTGATATGAAACTAGACTTTCTAGCCTTACTATCAATTGCTTATGCAGTTACTGAACACTTGCTTTAAGCACACTTGCTTTTGAACTGGTGAATTCTTGACTGATTTAATTCTCTTTTGGGGGGCACTTTCAGTCCGGTATATATACCTTTCTGAAGACCTTCCAGAATGTTCTATCTAGCTTACATATGTTTATTCTAGTGTCTTACTAAGCGCATACTAATTGCTGACTAATCGCTTACTAATCCCTACTAATATTTTTCCAGAACCTTCTCCAACATGCCTGAGATACTCCAGGACCTAGTAGAATAATCTGGTACGTGCTGGAATATTCTCGGATCTTCTAGCTCATTCTATTATGTTATCCATGGACTATTGGTCTTATGTTGAGTCATGCCTAGTAGATTGATAAGCAGGCAAGTCCCTATGAGCTTTATATGAGACCATTTTCTTGCATAAAAGTCTGGAATGTTCTGGAACTTTCTGTAATGTTCTGAAATACTCTCCACCTTGTTCCCCAGTTCTGAAAGATGCTTAGTCAACTGTTACCCTTTATGGTTATATGCCAGGACATTCTAGAATGTTCTATGATCATAGCTTGCACATGTTTCTCTCAAACGCTTAATCAATCCAAGCTCAGATACGCAAGTTGTCACTCTAGCCTGCAGTTTCACGTCCATTGATGCAACTACCAAATAAGTCCTGTCTGATCCTTTTGTAACTATACAGGACTATACGTGGCCTGAACCTCGTCATTGATCTCCCAATCATTTGTGATAGGGTCGAGGGAGACACCTAACAACTTATGAGTTTTCTGTACTCGAATGGCAAACAGTGCGGCTCGCCTGGAAGATAGTCTTCGTTATCTGGTTTCCGCAGGATCTTGACTCTGCTGACCACATTCCAAACCACTTGCGCCCACCAGGAACTCATGTCACCTGCAAAGTACTCGTATGGTACAGCGAGGCTAAGGATCGCCGGCGACTGAATGTGTTGTACAAGCACGATGACGCGGCTCTCCTGATACTCGGCTACTCGAAGGACTCAACCAAGAAAGTGTACATCCTTAGGCAATGTCCAACCCGGCTCTAACTTGCTCGGAAGGATAAGCCAACATGGGGTATCGGGAGGCGGAATTGGACCAAATGGGTGCGTTTCCGGCACACGAATCCGCGGAGTGTGGAAGTGAAGATGGTGAGAGTCCTTGCGTACAATTACCGGGCAGCGGATGATGTTGTCCAAGTTGAGGTGGTCCGAGAGGTATGGGATCATCTCGTTGGGGATTGTGAGGGTCTGTCGGGGGACGGTAGACATGATGGGAGGTGCCACATCACAAAACATGGACCCACCGTTTTGCGCTTTTTGATGTTTGACGCCTGTGGTTACGTGATAGGTTCCGATTGTTACCTGTCACATGATTATGTAGCTCATTGTAAGCCATGTCCAGGTGCCAATCCATTTTGGTGCCTGACATCCGCCCCACAGTTTTACGGCCGTCCCCGGTCGTTTCTTCCACTTTTACACTCTTCTTACTTGACTTCGTGTCCGTTGACTGACTGGTGTGTTGTCCAACTCTTCCTCATTCCATATCTGACTGTAAATATCCTCCTGGTCTGCTTCTGCATCTGAGTCAATGCCTAGAATATCCTCTAATGATTC